TGAAAAAGTGTTAGATGATTTAAATAAATATATTGATTTTTAAACTTACCTTTTGAGTTTTTTTGTACCAACCTTTAAATGAATAAAATTTTATCACCAAGACTTTTTTTAGTTGGACGCTAAAAAGTTGCGATTCGTCTAAAATAGGGTATTTTAAGTTCTCAACATTTTCAAGTGTCCACAATTACAACACCAGAAATTCTAACTTACTTAAACCCTCCTTTTTTCGGTTAGCCAAAAGTAAAAACAACAGTCTTTATATCAATCTATATAACAAGCTTCCTTGTGAAACAAAATTAAAAATAAGGAATGTAACAACAAGGTAACATTGTGAAACTATTGTAATATAACAAAATTACCAATAAGCAATGTAACAACAAGGTAACATTGTGAAACTGTTGTAATTCAACAAAATTACCCATAAGCAATGTAACAATAACGTGACATTGTGAAACTATTGTAATGTAACAAAATTACAAATAAGCAATGTAACAATTGTTAACAAGGTAACATTGTGAAACTATTGTAATATAACAAAATTATCAATATAACAACAACGTAACTAACGTAATACTATTGTAATATAACCAAATTACTATACTGTAACAAAATTACCGTTCGATATATTTAACATAAAAATATTGCATTTGAGCAACGTTATCGATATGTAACAAATCTTTCGTTATGTTAAATTACAACGAAAAGTTTCTGCAATATAACGTCAACATTTTAGAAATAAGTAGCAATTACATTTATTTGTTTAATAACTGTAATGTTAATCACTGACTGAATTATACTGACGTTACCAAATTGTTACCTTTCAGTCAGCATTCTTACATTAAGAAAGTTTGGTCACAAAAGGACATGGTGCGCTGCCTTACCTTCGTATATATAACCAGCCAAGCAAGCGAGATGTAAATGATGTGTAAGTGGTATACGTATACGTTTGTTACGTAATAAATATAATTGTTAAGTAACAAACTTCAACGTCAATCGTGTAACGTTACTTAAACAAATCTTTGTAAATGTAACAATAAAGTTTGCAGTTACCGTCAAACGGGGCGAATCGGGACGATTTTCAGTTACTTTCCTGAATATCTTTTTATTTAAATGAGATAAATCAACAATTTTTGGAGGAAAGTGACCTCCTCTGTTTCTACTTTTAAACAATGCTTCGTGCGAGTTTTTAGCTTTTATCGTAAACGCAAAAAAAATATTTTTAGAGGTGTCCCGATTGACCCCGCATTTGGGGTCAATCAGGACAGAGGCTTATTTGCTCGAAAATGTTCGATTAACCCCGCGTAAGGGGTCAATAGGGACAAAAATATAAAAAAACAGTTCTCAATATTTTTTATTGATGACGTCATATTAGAAAAGCCTATTTATTTATCTCCTAAAATAAAGCCCTTTATATTTTAATTGGCAGATAAAACAAGAGGGTCATCCTTTCACTTCGGATCTGACCCAACGCTATTTGTAATGTTCGCGGGTCATAATTTTGCCCCACAGGGGTTCTTTTATAGGTGACCATTGTCCCAATTGACGCCATAAAGTGACAAGAATAATAAAAAAAATTGATTAAAAAAAAACTATAAAACTTACAAACTTTTGCTTAGGCGCAACAGGTGACTAAAATGTTTGTGATACTCTAAATAAATTGACGGAGCTCAAAAATCATTTTAAGTACCAGTACCAACAAGAGTTTCGCGCTGTATTAAAACATTCGCCAAATGTGCAAAATCGCGTAACTTCTAAGGTGGCGTCGATTTGTCCCGAATGACCCCTTAGTCCTGATTCGCCCCGTTTGACGGTACATTAACTGTAATATAAACATATTTATGTTATATGTATAACAACCTTGTGAATCACGTTGCATTTGGCGGGAAAAGCGTTTCGACGTTTCGCAGATCCTGCGAATTCGCAAGATTTCAATATAGGGGTGGGAATCTTGAGATTGATCCAGTATTATGCGAAAATCGCACCAATTTGTGTTTCTTTTGTTGAGTTTTATTCTAACTGTGTTTAAAGTTTTATTTTGTTTTTTTATAATGGACAAAGAGTTTTTGAGGTATATTAATGTTTCTTATTTTACCTTTAGCATGGAAAATATCGCCTAGTGAGAAAAGTAAAGTTCATTTTGTTTTATCTGGACTGCGGCAACGTTGCAAATTTAGGGTTTTGGTTGGTAAAGTTAGTCGCATTGATTAAAACAAACTAAGCTAGTTATAAATCTAATTGTGGTTATGTATAAATTATTGTAGGTTACATTGTGCAGTTGTCAAGTTGAGTTGTCAAAATTCGTAGTTAAAAATGCAATTAATTTGGCTTTGGTGGTGCTTGGATGAGTAAAATCATATAAAAAAGTAGTTAAATATAGGTTGATTTACGGCCCAGAAGAGAGCGTATTCCTAGCCGATAATAATCTTTGAAAAGAATTTATATAAAAGAAATTAAAATTTTTTGTGAACGTAAATGTTGTCCAATGGTGAATAATGTAAAAATAATGTGTGATGTAATATTTATAAAACCAAATTCGTTAATTTTATACTCCAAAAATGTCCATAAGGCGATGTACTTTTTCTTCCATTGTTGCATTTGGCATAATTTCATCAAAATGAAGTTTTGCCCTCAAAAGGGCTTTTACATTCGAATTCGTTGCTATTATTTTTGGCATAATTATATTTTTATTTATAATTGACAAGTAAATTATCATATATTATATGAGAACTATGAATTTAATCGGGGTAAACTAGGCTCAGTAGTTTTTTATTTGGTTTTTGTTGGAAAATGTTGAATGCAAAATAATTTAATAAAATCACGAGACCGCGTAGCATAGTTTGACAGATTAAATTTATAGGTTGAGTGATATACGTCTAGATTATTTCTCGAATTAAAGGAAACTATTTGACCATTCATAAAACTGACGTATGTGTCAAAGTTTATAAATATTTTTTTAAAGAAAATTCCATTAATTTAAGGTATGTTATAAGTAATAATTGATATTTCGTAAACTAGATAACTTATTTTTTATTGTTTTTTAAAAAATGTTTGTTAAAACTTGTAAATAACACCATAAAATCGTAAACAAAAATCCAATATGGAGGCTAAAATTTAATCGCTGTTAAAAAGGTCTTATTTAAACGAAATTTATTCGAAAATTCAAGGCTTTTGATTGGTTCATATTATATTGAGGGAAATAATCAATAATAAATATTATTGTCAATTTGATTAAATTTAATTAAATTCTTTAGCAGAAGTACCATTTTTAAATACTAAAACTGGCATAAGCCATCAACCTAACAAAAAAACACGAGTCCAGATTTAAAAAGATGAACTGTATGTCCCTAAAATAGTTCGCATCTATATGAAATAGGAATTGCGAAATGCGAAAATTCGTATTTCGCAATTCACATTTCGCATCTAGGTATATGAAACTGACTTAACTCTGAATAAATTTTGGCGATTTTCGCACATTTTTGGCTCCATTTTGGTTCCACCATTTTTTAAAGGCAAGCATATAAAAAATAAAAGGTTAAGCAACGTTTTAATAATAATTAAGTAATTTGCTCCAACTTTTTTAAAGAACATAATTTTGGACACTTATTTTCCAATCTGGTCACATAGTGCGTCGTCTCCGCAACTTTATTTTTAAATTTACATTTTAAAATAATACAACGTGACACTCAAAAAATTTAATAAAAATAAATACAAAATTCATTACTTCCACACACTTTATTTTGTTTTTGTGATGTAAATAAACATTGACTTGAATTGCAATGTGGCAACAATAAGCTGATTAGTCCCTTCCCCAATAACTCCCGCATGCATAGTAGGGAACGATTCAAATTTACTTAGGTATTTACGTGGTCTAATAATTATGATAGAAAATCCTCTCAAAAGTTTTCAATGCTGGTCGAATTGATCGAGCGGCTCGATTAATAAATTAGATGGCTAAGCCGAGAAAAATTTAACTGTTTAAGCTTCGCTTACCAGTTTAGCCGGCAAAGTCCAATATCCCTAGTACCAAGTTGGTACTACCAACATCTAATGATGGTACAATTTGTGTTAAAAGCAGGTGGTTAAGGATTTTTTCTCGAAAGGAATTACTCAAGCCGGATTGGCATAGAGAGATACTTTTGACTTTGGTAAAATAAAGGGATGAAACTTGACCAAAGACAAAGCTTGAATCAAAATTAGTGGGTATTCTACGAGAAATGGAACGGGATTTGCGTGTCAATATTGCCAACTCTTACATACGATATTAATTCTAAATGCATTTTAATATTATCTAGTCAAAAATTCACATGCATTACTTGGATGTAGAGACTCATAAAAAAGCATAAATTTTACCTAATTTGGGGGGGGGGGGTCTTCTTTAGCCCCTTGAACCACTCTATCAAAAATCAAAAATTCACATGCATTACTTGGATGTAGAGACTCATAAAAAAGCATAAATTTTCCCTAATTTGGGGGGGGGGTCTTCTTTAGCCCCTTGAACCACTCTATCGATTTTTTTTTTCAAAAAAATAACAGATTTTTTTAAACAGTCTAATATACCTACACTTGTGGAAATTTTTCTCTTAAAAAGTTTTAATTAATTATTATTATTCAGAGAGGTTGTATTTGGTTATTGCATCATAAAACACGAAGAAAAGTATTTATAATTTTTTTTCTGTGTTGTAAGCCAAGTTTATTGCATAATATGTATAATTTTATAAATTATAATTTTTACATACGATGCGCTTGACTTGCTTTCATTATTGCACAACATACAACATCTCTGAATAATTCCGGATTATTATTTTATTTGCGGTAGGTACCTACATTTCTCTGCTAAAAGTATTATTAACTCTTCCAGAAGACTCCGAAGTCTTGCTTTTAGTCTGATTAAACTTATATTAAGTTTTTCAGACCTAAAACTTTTTAGAGAAAAATTTCCAAAAGGGTACCTACTTAAAATTATATAATTCATATATGTAATATTAAATTGAATTTATTAGATGGGGTATTTGTTATGGATGGGGACTACCAGGACAGAAAAATCTTTGGTCAAGTAGTTTGTAGCTTTCGATATGGCAGAGAGGAGGATGAAGTGATGGGTTTGAATTTTCAGAAAGATTTATACCTTGCTTCCCAGCAAGTTTTTCCTCCACCGGAAAAACAAGAAACATCAAAACTTCAAGAAAGATTGGTGAAAAAATTGGGTGATAACTGTTATCCTTTCACCTTTACTATTCCTCCAAATGCACCTGCATCAGTTACATTACAACCTGGTATGCGTTTTTTAATTCTAATGTTTAAAACTATTTAACTAGTTTTTTTGTTTGTTTATTTAATAAAAGCAGAGTAATTTATATTAAAATCCGACTAAATATAAAAATATATATATAATATATATATTTATTAGCGTGTTTCAAAAAAATTAAACATTATTTTTTTTTCCAATGGTGTTGAAAAATTAATAGTACATTAAAAAACAAAAATGTTGGCGCCTATTTGAGCCCCTAATATTAATATTAAGGTTTGTCTCAATTCATTTTTTGTTCTTCCATTTCAATAATACAAGAATTTTTATTTTTGAAACACCCTATATATACATTATGTATTATGTATATATACAGGGTGTCCGGGAAAATGTGGGAAATCTCTCGGATTCAGATAGAACATGAAAAAATAAGATAACACGTTCCTATAAATTTTTTTCCTACTGGCCATCCTTACGGAGACATGGGCCCCGAAAGGACTCCCCTGCAAATTGGTTTTCCCTGAATAACTTTTAAAGTACTAAATATAATTTAATAAAAATTTAATATGATGGACCCTGGTAAGGACCTCTTAAAATAGTGTCATTGAAACATGTTTTGCTTTTTTTGTTTACCAGGGGCGGACTAAGTTTTACTTTTTAATGCTTAAATTTTGAACACCCCGTATTACAAAGACTTAAAAAAACTAAATCTGCATAGCTTGAACCTTAAACTAAAATAAAGGTACTCTTGTTTATTGTCAATAAAATGAACCGTTTTCGAGAAAAAGAATAATAAACAAATTCATGTTTTATTTTTTAATAAAAAGGACCATAAAAAAATAATATCACGTATTGTTGCAAACCTTAAATTAAAGTACGATAATTCGAAACAATTAATTAAAAACTTTATAAGAGGGTTCAACATGGGTTCCGTGAACTCTGATACATTCGCGGGCACGACGAATTGAGGACTGCTGTACCCGCCAGAATAACCCAGAATTGTTTCTTATCATATCACAATAAAACGTGATCATCTGTAGAAGTTCCTCTATCGGAGTGGAATACACCAAGTTTTTTTAGGTATCCCCACAGGAAAAAATTCATCAGTCTAAGGTCGGGAAATCGAGGAGGCCAGTCAATAGGTCCTCCTCTACCTATCCAACGGTTTGGATAAACGTTATTCAAGTGCTCCCGCTCAGCAACGCTGAAATGAGGTGGTGCCCCATCGTGCAAGAAGTACATGTTTAGGCGGGTTTCAAGTGGTAACGGCTCTATTAAATCCCGAAAAGCGTTTTGGAGAAACTCCAAAAAAGTTGTCCATTCAATCGTGTCAGCAATACGAATAGTACAATTAAAATATTGCCAATGATTCCTGCCCACGTATTAATTGGTTGGAACTGATGTTGAAAATGCAAAACAATAGTGGCATGAGGATTTTCATCAGCCCATACATGTGTGTTACCTTTTTTGGTTAATCCTGCTTCATCCGTGAAAAGAAAACTTTTTTTACAAACGTAGGTACCTAAAATTATGAAGGAAGTCAATAATATTACTTTAATAAATAAAATTGTTCACCATTCTCTTCTTATTATTCGAAATCAGAAGACATTTTAACGAATTGACCAACGTCTTAGAGAGAATGGTGGACAATTTCAGTTATTAAAGTAATATTATTGACTTTCTTTATAATTTTAGGTATGTTTGAAAAATATTTTAAATGCTGTAGATGACACTCCTTCAACGAGCACTCGAAAATTATCAGCACAGTTTAATACGTCGAAAACAATAGTGCATGATGTTCTTTAAGAACAGCTGTTAAATGCTGTAGATGACACTCCTTCAACGAGCACTCGAAAATTATCAGCACAGTTTAATACGTCGAAAACAATAGTGCATGATGTTCTTTAAGAACAGCTGTTATATTCTTATCATATGCAAAAAGTGCATAAACTTATTTCTGAAGATTTTCCTTGTAGAATGCAGTTTGCAAACTGGCTATTGGATCAGCAACAAAATAATGTAAACTTCATTAGCACTATTCTTTCCAGCCCTTACTACTTGAAACCCGCCTAAACATGTACTTCTTGCACGATGGGGCACCACCTCATTCCAGCGTTGCTGTGCGGGAGCACTTGAATAACGTTTATCCAAACCGTTGGATAGGTAGATGAGGACCTATTGACTGGCCTCCTCGATTTCCCGACCTTAGGCTGATGGATTTTTTCCTGTGGGGATACCTAAAAAAACTACCAATTTGCAGGGGAGTCCTTTTGGGGCCCATGTCTCCGTAAGGATGGCCAGTAGGAAAAAAATGTATAGGAACGTGTCATCTTATTTTTTCATGTTCTATCAGAATCCGAGAGATTTCCCGGACACCCTGTATATGTATATAAATAAAAAAAAGTTTACAGTCTCAGGTTAACAGAATTAAAGTGATTTTACATAAAAAATAATATAAATATGGCATATGATACTATTTTTGTATTTTATTTGAAAATATTTGAAATTTTTCATTAGTGTTATTTTTAATCGCTGATATCTTTGAAACCATTGATCTGAAGAACTTTTACCTTCAGATGTTTTTTGTAGAGCGTGAAATTGTCTATAAAAATTTTCGCTTGGGTGTTGCGAAAACAAACCATTCCAAAGTTATAAGAATTCAAAATTAAAAAAATAAAAATTCCCGTGTTACTGAAATGGAAAAACTACAAATGAATTGAGGCAAACCTTAATATTAATATTAAGGGCTCAAATATGCGCCAAAATTTTTGTTTTTTAATGTACTATTAATTTTTCAACATCATTAGAAAAAAAAATAATGTTTAATTTTTTTGAAATACAATCATAACTTACACGTCTTTTGAAATATAGTTTAAAATAATAAGTTAACATAGAAAATAACATAACTCGAGATTTTTAGCATCTGATGAAGAGGGGCAACCCTGTGGTGTTCACTACTATGTAAAATTGTTTTGTGGAGATAGCGATACTGATCGAGGACATAAGAGAAGTGCGGTTAGTATGAATATTCGAAAAGTTCAGTATGCTCCAAGTAAACAGGGCAAGCAGCCTTGTACCGTTGTTCGCAAGGATTTTATGTTGAGTCCTGGAGAATTGGAATTGGAAGTAACCTTGGACAAACAGGTAAAATAGTATATTCTTTGTAAATCACAAATTGTTTGAAGGCATTACATTATACCCATACAGCACAAGGATGTCGAACGCCGACAGGATGCCCAAGGAATGCCGCAGGGAATCCAATGGACGTTCATACGAAGTCCTAACGTCAAAGAAATGGACCAGAATCGGACGTCCAAAAGAACGCCGAATAAAATCTAAATGGACATCGATATTCTGCCGAATAAGGTCCAAATGTTGTTCATTCGAAGGGCGTCCCTAATGTCAAGAACGTGCTGAATAAGGTCCAATGTTGTTCTTTCGTACATTATATTGTACGAATAAACAACATTTGGACCTTCGTATGTCGATGTCCATTTGGATGTTATTCGGCGTTCTTCCGGACCGATTTTGGTACATTTCTTTTACACTGTGACGTCCACTAAATTCCCTGCGTCAGTCGTTCAGCAGCCTATTGGCGTCCTATATACTTGTGCTGTATAAGTAGTGATATTGTATTACAGTTATACCACCATGGAGAAAAAGTTGCAGTTAACGTTAGCATTCGCAATAATAGCAACAAAATTGTTAAGAAAATTAAAGCAATGGTTCAACAAGGAGTTGATGTTGTATTGTTCCAAAATGGACAATATAGAACTTCTGTGGCAAGCATGGAAACACAGTAAGGTTTATTATTTCAAATTCTTTAAAATTTATACACACTGTGTCCCAAAAGGGTGGGGGGCATTTGTATGTGCGCTTTTGACGAAACGATGCATAAAGCAGGGGAGGGGGGTATATATAGTGTAGTAGACTAGTGTTTGGAGATTCAGTAGGAAGGCATCGCGCTTTTTGTGTACGTGCGTATAACTGGAACGGTGATTCAGTCGTTCTCGCTCAACGGCTTTACCGCGCAGAATTCAATGTGCGTCGAGCACCGAAAGACGAGACGATCCGACGATGGAACAAAATGTTTGAGGAAACCGGCAACACAATAATAATCCACGATCAGCTAGGACTCAAGAAAGCTTCAGTTGGAGAAAACCCTACAACTTTAATTCGTTTGAAAATCGTCTTGACAAAGATTTCTAAGGAATAATTTAAATCTTAAATTTTAAAAAATTTAGCTTGTGCAAAAATTACAACCAATAGACCAACCTCAACGATTAAATTTTGCGATTTTTCCCATTTCTCGTAGAGGGCCATTGGATGACCCCCAGGAGTCCGGATTTTAGTCCACTTAATTATTTCTTATAGGGATATCTAAAAGTTTGTGAACCCTGGCCGCGAAATTTGGAGCATTGAAGCAAAATATCCTGGTCGAAATGGCAGCAGTTTCGATAGTGATGTGTCGTATACGCTATAGCGTGATCGACAATTTAGGTTCGCGGTTGGAAGAGTGCCAGCAGCAGGGGGGTGCCCATTTAGAAATGTAATTTTTGCAACGTAAATTCCCTATCTGTCATTAACAAAATAAAAATAACAAATTTGACGATTTTTGTTAGTTTTCTGTTTTATTCAAAAAAGAAATACCCCGACTCATTTGGGACACCTTGTACATATTAAATACATATTAGATTATAGGTCCCAAAAATGGCGCACCCACGTGAATGGGGAAGTAATTTTGACCATACAAAAATTACTGTTTTAAGTAACTAATACTGTACTACTGTAATTCAGTAATATACAGTGGGTAACCCAGTAATATACAGTATATAAAATACCATTTAGTTTTTGGGGATACACAAAAATTTCGTTTACGCCCAAGTTAAAAAATGATTGGGATATATATATATTTTAAATTTCACTTTTAAGATTCAAATAAAAGAAACAATCGACCCATTGTTGACCGTTTTTCTCCTGACACTCTTAAAGTCGGACTAAAATTTGCCATCACGTTCCGAGTTATGCCCTTGTGAAAAAAAAATTTTTTTTTAAGTTTAAATAAGTAAAAATAAGAGTTTTGATAGTCTTATAAGACTGTACTTTCTCTTAAAAACTCTGAATAAGACTTATTAAGTCGGAAAAAGTCAGAATAAGACTTATTAATTTGGAAAAAGTTTGAATAAGTCTTAGTAAGTCAGACTAATAGCAAGATTTGGGAGTCTTCTGGAAGAGTTAATAAGACTTAATAACACCATTAGTAGAAAAATAGTAGGTACCTATAACGATAAAAATAAATATCCGGAATTATTTAGAGATGTTGTATTTGATAATTGTAAAATACAACATCTCTAAATAATTCCGGATATTTATTTTTATATAACAATTATAATTATATATATATATATATATATATATATATATATATATATATATAATATAATATTCATCTAACCATTGTTTCAAACAATTGTTCTAAAAACAATAACCATATAACAAATATACACATGTGTTCTAGACGCCATATTGATTTTCTCAGTTGACCAATTAGAGCACAGGGGCGCTATACTCCAAAATAAGCGAAGCGAAAGATCACTTCGGTGATAGGATATTTCACATCCAACCGTCATCGAATGATAACGAAAAGTCGTATTCTCGAAAGTATGTGATGGGAGATGTCAGGTTCGTCTACTTCCCACCATGAGATGTTCACTTCGCCGGAAAAAATCACAAATGATCAATCCCTTTCGAGAATACGCTTTTGTAAACTTTCATGTGATTTCTTCTTCAGTCCGACCCAGTGTTGCTGTTAGCAAGTATTTTTCTCGAAAATCAGGTATTTTCGTCATGTTTGCGGGTAGAATTTTGGAGCCTGTTTCGATCAAAATAATAACCAAAGAAATTTTCAGTAAATAATATTGTATATTTACTTAATATACACAATTATTTTATTTTATCTTGTTACATTTTTATTTACAATTTTAACAATTTTAAATTAATTTAATTTATTTTTCAAAACAGGGCGAATGCGCTAGTAAATTTAAAATATAACTAGTTCTTTTAGTATTTTATTTTTTGGCCAGGAACTTTTATGACATTCATCCGGCAACACTGTACATACCATCAAACACAATGAAAGCAGCTCAAAGATCAACCATATTTGTTTTTGAGTTCAACTGTCGAACACATCATACCTACCCTGCTTAAAATACCCCGATAGAAACCGGATCGGAATGTATGGTGTTTCTATAGGGTGTATCGGTATGTATAGGACACATAGTTGGGATTTATGGTTGTTCTATAGGGATATCCACCCTTGATTTATTTGCTATTGGTTTCAATGGGGAAAATACACATAAATGTAGAAATTAGTTTTTCCCCCATAGCGCCCATAGGTTTTAATAAAATGTAGTCAAATGTTTTATGGTTGCTCTATAGGGATATCCCTATATATCCTTCATTAAGTTATTTGCTATTGGTCTCAATAGGGAAAATGTAAAAGTTATGGTGTGCCTATAGGTAATTTCCTATACATTTTCTATCGGGCCGTATCCGGACAAATGCATATTGAATCCGGTAGCGCCCGATAGATTATTTTGTTTGGTCTCTAAGGGGTATTTTAAGCAGGGTATGCGTTGCGAAGAATTCTTATAGTTATTAAACCTTATGTAATCAACAAGTGATCTGTACACAAACCAAACGTATGTCTCAGTTAAGTAAGTATTTTATTGTAATAAACTGTTTTGTTAAACTATGATACAGTGTTATATTTAATAAATAAATAAATAATAAATAATAATAAACGTTGCTAATATTATTTATTAAAGGGCTTTATCCTAAAATCAGATAATGACAAGTCAAAGATTCAAGCTGGTCTCGGTAAACTTAAAACTAATAACAATATATTTATTAAACTATAAAGAAACAATGTCTAACATACAGCCTGCAAAGGACACCTCAATACCTACCTTCTCAGTTGTAATAAGCAAATTGGAAATAGAAATTGAAGACCTGGTTATCAGTGAATACCTTAAAACTATATACCTAAAACACCGATACTGCAAAAGGAATAATCGCTAGAAGCACTGGTAAGCCTTCCACATTAGTAAGAATAATAACACCCTATGAAGAGACGCATCTTAAACCACTTCAAGAAGGTTTGTTTTTTAAAAACTGTCACTACCCAGTGTATCCTAGCCTACCACCAAAACCTGCTCCCTCTACTTGTCATAAGTGTTACGAACACCCATCATCAGAATGCAGAACACAAGCAAAATGCAGCAAATGCTTTGGTAGCCATGGAACATACACTTGTACCTCTACTCTAGAGCCAAAATGTTTATCATGCAAAGCTACTGACCATCAAGCATGGTCATTTAAATGCCCTAATCGCCCTAAGGCACCTATCACGGGTATACCGTAAATAACTTCCGCATAGACATACAACAATTTTCTCAGGAAATAAAATGTACATACTAATGTTTGACTTGGACCAACCTGATGAAGACTCACCAACAAAACCCACACATGAAGATAAAAATGTTCAGTATGTCTCTAAAAATAATATATCAATACATCAATAGCTATACCGAACGAAAACTACTAATCAACAATTACATAGAAAACAATAATATAAATTGTGCACTTTTTGTTTGAAACCAAAACCTCTACAAATAGCAACGTTGGTTACAGAGACTGGACAACGCTAAGCCAAATTGGAAACCAAATTCACAACAAATCCAGAGGGGGTAGTCTCATACAGGCCCACCTATCATTAAACCTACAAAAAGCTAACCCACCTCACATAAATAACCAACTAAATAAATGCTTGCATGTCACATTCCCGCTGGGAAACAAGAAACTCCATATCTTTCTGGTATACATACACCCCTTTGCTAGAATAGAAGAAACAATTTTTACAAAAGCTAGCCTATACAAACAAAGCCTCATTATAGGCGATTTTAATATAAACAAATATAAAACAAAACAATTGAACAAATTTATAAATAGCACAAATTTCATTAAACATAAAACCCCACCCACGTTTTTAATGACACACAACAATGACAGTACGCCCGATCTACTGATGTACACCGAAAATTTAGCTCCAATAATAACAAATGTGAACATTGTTCCTGACTTAGAATCAGATCATCTGGCATTTACTATTGAAATAGCCTTTAACAATTCCCTTAATTACAAACCTCCAACAAAACTTATTTATAACAAATGTAACTTTAAAAAAATAAACAAGGAAATGACCCTTGTCAAAAAACACTATAAAACACTATGCATGGTGTTCTATGGTGTTCTATAGTGTACCTAAAGTGTCTTATAGTGTTTGCTTAGTGTTCTTGTGGTGTTGAATAGTGTGTTTATAGTGTTGTCAAGTGTTTGAGTAGTGTTCACTAGTGTGTTTATAGTGTTTAGTGTGTTTATAGTGTTTAGTAGTGTTCACTAGTGTGTTTATAGTGTCATTAAGTGTGAAAGTTAGTGTGTCCTTAGTGTGTCTATAGTGTTTGGAGAACACTGTTGTGATAAATATGAACACTGTAGTGTTTAAAGCAAATTTCAGCAAAAATATTTTTTTATATATTTTTGTTTATTTTCAATTTTTTTCTCAAAACATTGTCAAATGAATATAAAATTTAAAATTTTTGTTCTTAATAATTACCTTTTGCATAAATTTTGATAATTATAAAAATATTATTTTCATTAGAGATAATTTTAAAGTTTCGAAAAAATTTAAACATAATTTGATGAAATTATATTAATAAAAAATTATACATTCCCGGACAA